GTGTGAGCAGATCCAGCCCAGCCGCTCTGCCACCACTGGAGTGGGCAGTGCAGGGTCTGTGGCACAAACCTGAGCAATTCCCCGCTCAGCTGCTGTTCCCAGAGGCTTTCAATTCACCCCTTTGCCACAGATCAATTTTAGAACACGCCCCTCATGTGAGTAGGGCCCCCACCGGGGCAGGTGCTGCAGGTGCATCTCGAGGTAACCCCAACCACAGCTCCGTCTGCGGCAGCAGAACCTCCAGGCTCTGTGCCACTCAGCCCCAAGCTGGAGAGACATGAAATTCTTTCCTCTCTCTGAAACAACGTCCCCTGGAATGATTCTACCCTTAATGAGCCCCGACCGCGCCGCCGCGCTCCGGAGCCGCCGGTGTGCATGTTAACAAGGAGCCGAGATGGCCGGCCCTGTAATGGGAGTCTGTTCAGCATCCTAAGTCCCGCATTAGGCTGTGCCTGTAGGAACCCTGGGATGTTCCATGGAGACTGCCTGAAGGTAATCATCTCTCCCAGCCTCCTGGCTGGCCCTCACCGAGCACTCCGCTTGCAGCTGTTCCAGGAAACGGCTCCGGAGATGATAAAAGTTTAGCCCCTGATTTATTCACTAGCAAAGAGGGGGGTGGGGAAATGCCATTTGATTATGGATGGAGAAAGGAAAATGCAGGGGGCTGGTTGGGGTTTGGTTGTTGAACCCCGTGAGGGACTGGAAGCCCTGGAACTTCATTGTTTGGTTCGGCCAAATCAGGAGCGGTCCCTGAGAAACATCGTCCCCTGCAATTCATCTTCGAGTCCTGCTTGACTTCAAGGGGTGCATTCCAGCACTTCCCATCCCAGAAACCTATTTCAGACATCACATCCACTTAAATACACTTTTTGTGTGTGTCAAACACACACATTGCAGGGAGTACAACATAGATAGGTAGACAGATAAATAAATATCCATTTAGATCAGGGCATGTTACACAGGACAACTCCATCCTGTCGAAAACCAGGGAAAGGAGTTCTTCCAAATCCATTCCCTCATTGATAGACCAACAGAAAAACATAATGCCTCTCTTCTAGGGGAAAAAAAAAAACCAGCTAATTTATTTTTCAAAGTTGTGAACTCATTAGCTGGCAACTATTGTTCCACCCACCTTTGCAGCCCCTCGAGGGGTCACAAAAACCAGAGCTCCAAACACACCTTTGTCAGCGTGTACTGAGAAGTGCTAAAATAAAATGTTGTCTGAATTAGATGGGGAGGATTAGAAAGGTGATAAAAGCTAAGCCAGGAGAAAATAAGATGATAAATAAGTCTGGCAAGATAGATGGATAATCTTCCTCCCAGGCCAAACCTGACAGGATAATCACCTTTTTCTGTTCTCTGGTTCCATTTGCTCTGGGATCTTCAGAGCTTTACAGATACCACTGAATTTGGTTTTCTGGTACCCTGGGAAAGGGGAACACAATGTCCCTCTTTCCAGACCAGGGGTCTGAGCTGCCTGACTTCGGAATGGGTTTAGGTTTAATATTAGAGTTGCAAAAATGAGCCAAAGTGTTGCCTTTTGCTGGTTTGTTTCTCTGCTCTCGCTGTGCCTCGGGCAGGGCCGTTCCCTGAGGAGGAGCTGCTCAAACCAGAGCCTTTCCCAGCTCACCTTTCCCCAGAGCCAGAGCAGGAGAAGTCCTGTCCTCTCCCAAGTGTGTCTAAACAACACATCTGAGCTGTAACTAATAAGCTCATTAAACATTCCGGGCTGTGAGGCTCTTTCCCAGTTCGGAGAAGACTTGTCTGAACTGGCCTTTGCTCTCCTTGCTCCCGGGAAATTCCCATTGCTCCTGCTCAATCCATGCAAGGTCTGAACCTGGAAAGCACTGAGCCCTTTTCTGCAGGCAGGGACACCTTGTGTGAAGGGAGGAACTCGGGAAAGGTCTCCATCGCTTCATGGCATTGATTTCTCCATGAACGTTCGGCTGGCAACACGGAGCAACGGAATATTTGATCAGCCAGAACTACAGACCACAGCATGAATAATTTTGTGAGCTGAACTGGAAAGACTTGCTGGGAATGGTGCAATTTTCTCCTCCTTTTTAAGAGAAACTCGGCTCTAATGGCTGGGTGCATTGTCATCCTACGGGAGCAGGGACTGACTATTCCTCCTCATTTTGAATCCATGCAATTTTCACCTGGGCTGGAATCTTGGAGAGGGACTGTTCATTATGGCTCTGGATTTTCAGAAGTCAGCAATTTTGGATGCCTCATTTGTGTTTGAGACACTTTGAAAGGGACTGATCACGAGAGGCAGGCGCTTCGAGGGCCCTGAAAATCAGGATTAATTGGAGGATGTCATGCTGGGCACCTGAAAACACTAAATGCTTTGGAAAAATCACAGGGGAGGGAGTTCTGTTTCTGAGCATGATTTGGGAAGACTGCACAGCCTTAAGTAACACAGGATAAAGAGAAGATCTTTGCATAACATGGAAACATCCTTTAATCCTCAGCGCTTGACTTCAGGTGGCATTTGATTCCTGAGCCACTTCAGTGCTGAAGTTTGTGCAAGTGCATTTGTATTTTCCTGCTGTTGTGTAAGTTACTGTGGGTTTGGTTTATGAGAATTTCTGGGTGGGTCTCTAAATTAAAATAAATCAGAAGGCGAAGTTGTCCCCTCGAGTAGGACACGGAGGCTTTGCAGGCTTCCCGCACCTTCACCTGCAGAGCCGCAGACTGAACCAGGAAATATCCATTCTTTGCACCTCCTAAAGCCCCTGACCTGAGTCCCAGAACCACAATCAGCCCCAACTCCTCCCCTCATCCACCAGCAACCATGGAAAAATCCTTGGTAGAGCCTCCCTTCCAGCTCAGAGCCAACCTCTCGGTGTTGACCCTCGGCCACTGCGACACCCGGAGCTGTGTCTGTAAATTCTGTTTGTAAACGAGGTGAAACTGAAAAAATCCACCCTGCTTATCCCAGTTATCCCCAGTGGCACAGTGGCCACAGAGCCATCTGGCCTCTGGAGCCAAGGGCTCCTGGAGGCAGGGCACGAGTGCAGGACGGGAAGGGCCCGATCCCCACCAGGAGGGTGAGGAGCTCTGAGGGGGTTTGAGGCTCTGCTGAGTCAAACAAAATTATGGCAGTAAGGGTTTTTTCCTGTTGCAGGGTCAAACTGCAGGGCTGAGCTGGTTTTGGGACACATTACAGATGTTTTGGTGTGCAGGAGTCAGGGTAGTGCATGTCCAGCCTGAGCTACAGCCAGAGCTTTCGGAGCTGCTGGGAGGCCAATTCCTCTTAATCTCAGCAAGTGCTGAAGGCTCCAGATATCCTGGGAAGCCTTGGGATACTCAAACACAAAGATCAATATTGAATATTGTATTAGCTGTTCCTGAACCTTTTTTTTTTTTTTCTTTTCTTTTCTTGTTTTGTCTCCAGGCTGAAATTTAGGAGATTTTATTACATTAATATCCCAGCACCTGTTTTAGTAAGGACACAGTTTAGAAAGACATCTCAGCATTTAAAGACAGATCATTTTAATAGGATTTAACAATTAATTTAGAACCCCACTCCTACTCATTTTCAGGTGAGGTGTGTGCTGGCTTGTTTTACAAACCCCACCACAACACTGGTTTGTTCTAAACTCACTCAATTTTAGCAAGGTGTTAAATAATGACAAACTTTGAGGCCACACACGGATCCCAACAGCCCTGGGGGGAACATCTACATCAATTTAGTCACCTGCTTTCCATCACTTCTCTGCTTTGAGTCCTTTTCTGGGCCTTAGGGTGGCTCCATGGGAGGTTCATTTCTTTTGCTTTCCTGGAGGGGGTTGAATTCAGTAACTTAGCAGAGACAGCTCCCATTATCCGTAGGGAGAGACTATTTACAAGGGCCTGGAGTGCCAGGACAAGGGGAATGGCTTCAAACTGAAAGAGGGGAAATTTAGACGGGATATTGGGAAGGAATTCTTCCCTGGGAGGGTGAGGAGGGACTGGCATGGATTTCCCAGAGCAGCTGTGGCTGCCCCATCCCTGGGAGTGTCCCAGGCCAGGCTGGAGCACCCTGGGACAGTGGAAGGTGTCCCTGATCGTGGCACTGGATGGGCTTTAAGATCCTTCCCACCCAAACCACTGTGGGATTTGGGCAAGCAGAGAAGCCAAATTCTTGGCTCAGAATGCCCTCAGATCTTGTCTGGGCCCTGAACAAAGCACCTGCAGGAGGTGTTGGGGCAGAGCAAACCTCAGCCCGAGGGGGAGCGGCCTCGCCGTGTTTATCCGAGCCCAAAGGGCCGTCGCGGATCCAGCGTCTGAAATCCACTCTCCTTTTCCTGCCGAGATTCCCAAGCACCTCCCAGTCTCCCAGCTACTCCCAGATGCCACGATTGCAGTGGAGTGGCAGCGACACACAGACAAATATTTGTGCAAGGCACACAGAACCTGGAGGCTGGAACATCGTCTGTGTGCAGGGAGGAGGAGGAGGGAAGGAGGATCCTGCCTTTAGTTCTGTTTGATTTGAACTAACAAAAAGCCACAGGGTGTTTATTTCCTACAAAAACTTCCGATGTTTCCATCCAACAGGTGATGTGGGACCCGCCTGCCAGACTGATTTCCAGTTCAGTCGTTTTGCTGAGTGCTTAAAGGGTCAGGAATTAAACTGAGTTTAGATCAGACCTTACCCTGAATCCCCTGAATTCTTCAGAGACCTCTGTCAGGGACAGGGTTGGATCCATCTATGAGATCTACAGAAAATGGCCAGTGAAAAATAAAGAAGTGACAAAATATGCCCTGAACAAATGGAAATGTAACTTTGATTAAGCAGTGCTCTGAACAACACAAAATTTAGTTAGCTTTGAGGACATGATATCATCTGCCCTCCTATGTCTTTATATTAAATATGAAATTTGATTAGGTAATTTCCCAGAATGAGGAGTAAACCCAGAAAAGCAGGAATAGGTATTTGGTGCAATATAATTTTCTGGTTTCTTCTGTTTGGGAGCGAAGAACGTGATTTTTTTTTCCCCCCCTTTATTTTACAGCTGAACTTCAAAGGGGAAAATGCCTGATGTTGGTGCTGGAAGGGACAAGGCACTGCCCAAACTGAACCTCAGCAGAAGGTAGGATTTAGGGCAGATCAGAGTCACTGAGCACACAGAGAACTGATGGGAGACGTTAAAAAGATTTACAGAGAGATAACAAAGATACCTCTCCACTCAAATTCCATAGGGAAGCGTTTCCACTCCATAGTTTTTTTCAGTGTCTATAATATGTCTTTGAAGGCCATGTGGATATTCAAGGCCTTAAAGGAAATAACTCTCTGTTCAAGTGTTTTTCTTCTTCTTTTTTTTTTTCCCCCCCAGATATTTAATTCTGAAACAGCAAATAGGAGTTTCCTTAAAATGGAGAACAGAGCTTGTTTCCTTTTCCTCCCAGAGGCCAACATTACTCAGGGAAAATCCAGGTGTAGGGACAGGAGACGGGGCCAGGCTGAGCCTGGATTAAAGCCCCTGGTTGAGCCTCTGCTCAGCAAAGTGTTTAAACACACGTTTAGCAGGGCTGGGGGAGAATTTCCAGTGAACAGGGATTGGTTTAGTGAATCTCAGCCTCCAAAAATGGAGATAAAACAAATGCAGCAAATCACCCTGGCTGACAATGGCTCTGTGAAATGCTCCATTTCCAAAGTGCTCAAACACTTCAACAATTTAGCTTTTCTATTTTCTGTATTAGATCCTTGGTTTAATAATGTAAAAGAGGAGAAAATGTTTTATTGCAGCTCGAGGCACAGCTGAGTACTTTGTGATTTTAATTTTGTGAAAATAAAATTGAAAAAAAAATCAAAAATCACCCAAACCAAGCAAACAAAACACTTTGAGGTATTTGTTTGTTTTGGTTTGTTTTTTGGTTTTTGGGGTTTTTTTTGAGATGAACATTTTGGGGAAAAATCCACCCTGATTTAGCCACTGAGCACTTTAATACAACACAATCTGTCAACAGACCCAAAGTGCACCACCACATCAAGGCAAATCCTGAGTGCTCAGAACCAACTATGGAGGAGAAATATTTTCAAATAGCTGCTCACTGAAGCATTGGCTCCCCAAAGCACCTTGGTGAAATATCTCCTACAAACGAGGGGATATTAAAAACAACTTTACACACACGAACTACCAGGCAGCCACACTTCGAAAACGAGGATTTGGGGGTTTTCCAACACAAAGCTTTGATGCTGGGCAGGTGCAGGGTGCAGGTTACATTTGGGTTCATACAACCATTCCTGGCTTTCCAAATGGTTTTATTCCCTGCCCTACTCCAGGCTGTGAGTGTGTCCTACCTGGGCAGGGATGTTTGGAAAAGGCATCTGTGCCTGTTCCAGTCCATCCCATCCATCCCAATGTCCCACCTCAGCCAGCCCTTGGCTCTTGGCCAGACCCCAAACTGCCCCCCGAGTGCTCGGGGTGATCTCCCGACCCTCGTGCGTTCCTGCCCTGGAAAAGGACCGGGACACGACCCGGGCACCCTGCCCTGGCACCTGCGGGCAGCCAGCCGGGCTGTGCCGCTCCCTTTTCCCGCTCTCCTGCCTTCCCCGTCCCGCAGAGACCCCTGCGGGGCCGGACTCACCTCCCTGGCCGGGGAACAGTCCAGCGTCGCCTCGGGCACCGGGTGTTGTTGTCCGGGGAGGGTCGGGGCAGGCGCCGGTGCCCGGTGCGGGGTCAGGGATGCCCGGCTCGTGTCCCGGTCCAGCCCTGCCCGGAGGCGCCGCCGGGCTCTGTCCGTGGTGCTGATGCCGGGATCCTGCCGGGATCCCTTCGGGATGCCCCCCGGGATGTGGCCGGGATCCCTCCGGGACACGGCCGGGAACCCCCTCGGCCCCCAGAGCCAGGGCCGGGGGAGGCCGGACCCGTCCCCGGAGCGTCCCCCGAGCATCCCCGGAGCCCCCGCCGCGGTGCCCGTGGCCGAGCAGGGGCGGGACGGGCTCCACAGGTGTCCCCCGCGGGGCTCACCTGGCGCTGGGTCACCCGTGCGGCGGAGGGGCCGGCGAAGCTGCCCTGCCTCTGCCTCGGGGCTTTTATGGGGCCGCCGGGGGGGCGGCGGGAGGAGCGGCCGGGCGGGGACTGTCGGGCTCGGCCAACGGGAGCGGCGGCTCGGGGCAGCTGCGGCAGCATTACATCATGGACCCGCCCGCGCCTCGGCCCCACACACCGCCTGTGCCGGCCGCGGGCAGCCACGGGGACAGCAACAGGTCCGGCCGGGGGGGCACCGACCCCTGGAAAAGGAGCAGCGCACGGGGAGGGCGCTCGGAGCTCTGCCCGGGAGGGACGCGGGTTTGGGAGCGGGGAGAGCCCGCCGGGAGAGCCCGCCTGGATCGCCCTGTGCTCCGCTCTGAGCGAGGAGGGGCTACCTCGCAGGGCTCAGCCGCTCCGCGTTTCCCGGGATTCCAACCCCACCGGCCCGTACTTGCCACCTCTGGGGGTTCTTTCCCTCGCCCTGGCGGGCTCTGATTTCCCAGATTTTTCCCAGATTTTCCCAGTGGGCAAGCAAAGCTTCACCCTGAATCCCCTGCCTTTCTCATCCTGTTTTTGGAGCGTGCACAAACTCCAACCCTCCGTTTCCCCCCGGAGACACCGAGCTGACAGGCAGCCCTGATGTGAGGACCTGGAATCCATGGGGATCTCTCCCGTTCCCAGAGCAAGGGGGTCAGAGAGCTATTCCCTCGAGTGTGCCAGAGAGCACAGCACTCACCAGGGAAAATAAATCTATTCCCAAACCCCCTCCTCAGCTGGGATGGGTTTGTGTTGTGCCTCTTTGATGGCAAACACAGAGGCTGCAAACATCAATTCTTCAAGATTACCCTAAATTATCCTAAATGATCAGTTGAGGTAAAGCTTTGTCCTCTGACATATCCTGTGCACGGGATGTGCTTATCACCTGATACCAAAGGAAAAGTAATAACTGTTTGCAACATTAATTAGATAGAAATCAAAATGGTCCTGAGCTAAAGGCTTGGTCTGGGGAATACTTGAGATCTCTGGGTAATACTTGAGACCCACATTCAGGTCTGATTTGGGATGGATCTTCTGCAGGAAAATATGAGGCTCCAAAGCCCTGTAAGTAAGAGCAGATGACATGAAGGAGCCCATTTTCGAGTGGCACCGGCTGCTATTCAAATTACAGCACAATTAGAATAAAACCAGGTGCTCTGATTCCAGCTCTTTTTGTTTGGTTGGTTTGTTTTTTGGTTTTTCTCCCATGCCATCATGGATTATGGGCCAAATCCTTTGCCTGGCTCCCACCAGCCCAGAACCTGTTGCTGTTGCCTGAGGTAAAAGCTGGGTTTGAGCAGAATGTCCCCGTGTGTGACACAAATCAGTGAATGGCCCTGAAGGAGGGGATGGCACTGGCAGTACCTGCTGACCTTGTGGTGCATTAGTCACAGCACAGAGAATGTGGGCTGGTGTTCAGGTCCAAGGAGATGTTACAGCCTCGTTAGTGCCTGGCCTTGGATGTGACTCTGGGAGGGATTTCCATTCAGGAGCCAAACCTGGAAGCTGTTCCTCGTGGCTTTGTCCTGGCAAAGCAGGAGTTTGGGGGAAATGGGAAGCTTGAAGCTGTAAACAGCATCTTGTGGGAAATGCTGAGGGTGCCCAGGTCCCTCCACAATGCACCTCAAAGGACAGTGAGACTTGGGGACCTAATTCCCTTAGAAGATCCTACTGGAAAGGAAAGCCAGAGTAAGGGACATTAAAGCTCATCCCATTCCAACCCCTGCCATGGGCAGGGACACCTTCCACTATCCCAGGTTGCTCCAACCTGGCCTTGGACACTCCCAGGGATGGAGCAGCCACAGCTTCTCTGGGAAATCCATCCCAGTCCTCTCCCCACCCTCCCAGCCAGGAATTTCTCCCCAATATTCCATCTAAATTTCCCCTCTTTCAGTTTGAAGCCATTCCCTGTGTCCTGTCCCTCCATCCCTTGTCCCCAGCCCCTCTCCAGCTCTCCTGGAGCCCCTTTAGGCCCTGGAAAGAGCTCCAAGGTCTCCCTGGATCCTTCTCTTCCCCAGGTGAACCCCCCCCAGCTCTCCACAGTTCCAATTCTCTGTCTCTACAAAGAACAGCCATTTACCAGCAGTTCACAAGGGGTGAGCTGGGCACAGGCACTGCTGTTTCCCTGAGAGCTGCAGCCTCTTCTCTGAGAGCTGTTGGGCACCACTTTGGACTTAGGTCCTCTCCGTGCCATCTGAGGAGTCATTTTGGCCAGCTGAGGTTTCAGAAACATGATTTTCAGAGGGATCCAAGTCATGAACTCGAGCTTTCCCTGCCCAGTCCAAAGTGTCTCAAGCCTGAGCTACTCCTTCCAAAGATGAAATGTTGGGCTTGTTGCGAGTCGAGACCTGAAAACTCTCTGTGTCCACGGCACATTCATCCCCTCTGGCTTTCCCACCTCAGGAGACTCCTCTGCCTCATTCATTTGCACCCAAGATATTTTTTTAGTGGAAGAGGGGATCGGACAGATTTTTTTTTTTCACGGAGAAACTCTGGCATGAACTTAGAATCCTCAACAGGAAAGGTCACCGTTTGATTGAATCACTCCAAGTTGTTTTCCACCCCCTACCCGGAGCGGCCCTCGGGGCTCGGTAATTAGCAACGAAGCGAAGGGGGAGCGCGCTGGACTTTGGCCCCGGCTGACCTGATTCGTACAACGCGTCTGATTAATGCACCTGGTCACATGGCAGCTGCCAGCGACTTGTTGCTGGGCATCCAGAGGTTTCCAAGGGAACCGCTCCTTCTCCTGCCGATGCTCCTCAACGAGTGCGGGAGAGCCGCGCTTCGGGCTCCGAGGGCCGGGCGGGAGGCGGGAGCGAAGGTGCGTGGAGGAACACCCAAAATAGAAGCGAATCCCGCGGGGAATTTGGGGATGGAGCGGCTCGGGCGGATCCCGCGGGATGCCCTGAGCCACGGGCTCAGCCCTGCCTGGGCACCCTCCCCTGTAGCTCCACAGCTATCCCGGCCCACGCTCGTGCCCAATCCCACCCCCCTCCATCCAACCCGAACCACGTCCCGAACAAAACAACAGCTCGGTGCGAGCGCAGACACTGGGGATTCTCCCACTCCCCGCGGATTCT